AGAGTATTTGTTCAGTAAAAAGTTTTAAAAATACCTTAAACTTATTTAACAGGAAACTCTCCATAAATAGTGCAATAACTGTCACGCTTTAAAAGGAAGGGCAGGCAACTTATTAAAACTTTCTATAGCATCTTAAGCAAAGCCACAAGCCATATAATCACCACTCTGTAGTTTCATTCTTTTGGTAGTTGTGAATGTTTTAAGTATGCGTGAGTTAAATCCCTTGTACCGCCTGGTATGTGATTACCTTTGAAAGGTGAGTTTAATTTTAATTGTGCTTTTGTTACCATGCTGCAAACATTTGCACTTCTTTCATTCTCATTTTATGCTCTCTGTTTACATTAGTTAAAGGTTTTTAAAAGTCATGATGAAATATCTTGATTTTTTTTCTAAAATTAATATGGCTTGTGTTGCCAGACATAATGTAGCAGGACAGAGTAAGTGCATGGTGAACTATGGTTTAACTCCTGTTGCTATTAACTGTAATTAAAGAACAAAAAGAGCACAATCAGGAGATATTTGAGAGACTTGGGCATAATGCCAGAGAAGGGTTATTAGGGAAGTGACTGACATGGCTGATGTTTCAGGTGTAATGTGAAATAATGCTGACGGGAAGAATGACTGTCTGAGAGAACAGAACATACGGCTGTTTTCTCTGAAGTTTCTGAACAGAAGAGCTGAAAAAAGGCTCTTCCCATTGGCCGAGGCAAAGCTTTGGGTGTGAAAGAGTGACAAAGAAACCAATCTTTGTGTAGAATAGGCTGAGGACTTTGGTTTTGGCTGCAAAAGATGCCTTGCTTCCGGTATTCTAGGTAGTCTCGGGACTTCTGATAAAACATCGGGCATTCCAGCAGGTCAGATGGTACATGACTGGTACTATTTCTTGTCATGCTGTGGGCACAAGTGTCAAGTCAGCTGTTCAGTTACGGGGTTCAAAAGCAAGAAAAATGGCACTGCCAGAAAACCTAGTTTGTGTGAGGAGGTCTATTGGTAAGAAAAAAAAAGAACCAACGAACAACTTTGTCAGTGTAGATGGGGTGAGGTCTGTTATGTGCAGCTTTACCAAGCAGGCTGGGAGTGGCAGAGGCAAGGCCTGGTCACTGAGGTGTTCCTCATGCTGAAGCTCTGTGCGCTGTGATGACCACTGTGGGCATGGGTGGAGTCCTCACAGATGTTCCAGCTCTGAAATCCTGATGTCAACTGTCTGACCAGGTTCCTGGTGTCCTGGGCCCAGAGCGTATGTTGATGGGTGGTGAAGGACACCAGGGATGCAGGGTGAGCTCCGTTACTGTCTCTGCGTTGAGGCACTTGCCAGTGATGCAGAGGGAGCTGCAGTGATGTTCTTCCAGGCCGCGCTGTTGTCAAGAACAGCTCCCTCAGCTTTACTCTGGACTCTGCTATTGCTAAGGACATGTATTTCTACTTCTGAACTTTCTTCAGATGTGTAAATGATCTCTTAAAGGTAAATCTGCTAACAGCTTTTGATACATTATACTTTTAACTTGTGTAGGATCTGGGTGCAGTTGGGTACGGTCTTGGTACAGAGGCTCTTGGAGCACCATGAGCTGCTCATTAATGAGACGGTGGTCTGATTCAGGATGGTACCTCAGATCCTAAATGGGAAGGTGTTTGCAGGAAAGAACCTGTCAGTTGTTTGCCTGCAGGGAAAATGTACTTGTGTGGGTTCTCTTGGACATCACTCACTAAGACTGAATTGAGTTCAGATTTCTTTCAGTAAACATTTCTCTTACAGAAGAAAGACAACCTCAGGAAGAAACATGAGCTTAGTATAACACAGCAGCTTAGTTTATTTGGAAATACATTTAACATTGCTGAAGAGATTCAGTAGGCCTAGGGGAAGGTACAAGAGAACCACTTGCTGGTAGAACTGGCGATTTGTACAAACAGCACTTCAGCACTCTTGTTTTTTCTCAGTAGACCAAGATCCTTTCCTGAATATAGCCATGCTTACAGTCCATGGGGAGTAATGTGGGTGCTTCAGTCAACCATGTCCCTCTTTGAAGACAGTAACAGATACCTGAAAATCAGCTCTGAAATGATGCCAGTTACTTGATGCAGTCACCTGAAGATACTTGCTGAGTATTTTCTGCGGATTTTACATGGGGAATCACATAATGTGCTATGTTCATAGGATCGTGGAAGTTAAAGGCCCTCATTGTACTGGGGAATACTCAGTGGTTTAGCCTAACTTTTAAAATCAAGGACCAAGATTTTTACACAGTTAATGCCTTCCTAAGTTTTTAATTTGTTTAGTTACAACCATTATGTTTGAAATAAGCCATTAGGGCTCTGCTGTGTTCTAGATGGACAACACTGCAAGCCGGTGTGGAACACAGTTGAGAATCTGACCTCACAGTCTAAAAAGTCCAGGACTTTATTGTGAAGCAGTATCACCAACCCCCTTCTAAAGGAACTACTGGTGCACTACAGGCAACCTGTTCAAATGCACCCAAATAAAACCAGAACTGAAGTATTTGCTAATTAAAAACAAAACAAACACAAAGAAAACTTTTCAGCTGAGCCAAGCTAGAACTTCTGAAAATGAAGTTCACTCTCACTAATACTGCTGTAGTTCAAGTTCCTTTGAGGCACTGGCTACCAGTGCTAACTGTATATGAATATCACATATTCATACCTGCTGTGTCTTCTTCATTTAATTAAAGGAGGGGGCTCTGTAGCCTAGTCTTGAGTGGTGCATCCCAGAAATGTCTCGCCCCGTTTCCTGTTAATGACACTTTTTCATACAAACCTACATTCTATGGATTTCCCTCTTCTTCCCGAGGGACTACACATTCTGTGCAGCATGCAGGGATCACCCCTATCATCAGCACAGCCTGGTTTAAACACTTACATGTATAAGTCACCTCTTGCCTTACAAAAACCGTGTGTGAAGTCCTTCAGGACCCTTTACTTACACTGTTCACAATACTTGGTCGCAACAGTTGATGGTTCTAAGGCTTTAAGTTCGGTGCTTCGCTACAGCTCTGTTCCTAACCTCCATTTGCTTTTGTTAAGGGCACTGAACATCTGCCTCTTGTCTTAAGATACTGATAATTCCTGGTGTCTTCACTGGGTACCAGCAAATTCAAAAAGCTGAATCTTACAGAAGCCAGTGGGTATTTCTTCCCCTCCAGTGTGTGTTCTCCTTAAAAGCAGTTTTCCCCGTAACTCTGTTAATGTACACAAGTGCTACGCGGAGTCCAGCCTGTACCAGACACAGTAGAGATTAACAGCTACAGAGCTTAATGTGATGTTGTACGTATCAACAAGGATGCAATAACTATATATGGCTATTCAGCCTTTGGATATATTTTTGTCCTCTTTCCTGCATCTTTGGTCAAAGTAATTAAAGTTCTTCATGTCTTAGTGGAAACCTTTTGTGTATTTACCTCCTAGATCCTTAAGGAATTTAGTGACGTAGGTTCTTTGTCTCAAGTGAGTCTGCAATACTAAAACGAATGATTCTTGAGATGCAAATGATCTTCAATGCTTTGGTCCAATGCTGGGGATTAGGTTTTATTTGTACAAGAATAGTCTGCATTACTTTAGATGGTGTCTCTCTCCTTGCACTTCAGTAAGATTCTTTCTGTCTCTAAAAAATATTACTGTTTAGCCTTTTGGGGTAACTGCTGTTGATTTTTTTTTTTTTTTTTTTTTTTTCCCTCTCTTCTCCTATAACTGTGGTTCCTTTGTATTTAAGTGCACACTTCACTTGACTGGCTTAACAAAACAGAAGTTCCTATTGAAAAAAAATTATTTTAGGAACTTTTTGCTATCTGTTTGTTATTTCTAAGCCTGAGATTTTCACACTAGATCCAGATACATTTATTTTACTATTTACACCTATCACAGTACATTTATATGGAATACCATCACATGGACAAACCAGCTACTGACAGCTAATATAAATATATTAGATTCCACAAGGCTTAATCTGCATAGAGACCAGAAACACATTTAATGGTGAAATACAGGTAAGTCTTTCTGTATTTCCCTTAATTTTAAACTCATTTTGTGTAGAATGTGATCTTCCTACCACAATATCTACTTCCATATTTTTTTATTTGTCTGGTGGTCAGTTTGTCTTGGGTGGCTAGTGTCTTCCTGTGCTTGATAGTTTATATTTCTTATGGTCATGAAATATGCAATTAATAGTTGCTTTAAGCATTGTTTAAATATTGGTTAAATTTTGTCTGTCCTCCACTCTCCTCCCAGCAACCTACCAGTGACACGTAATCTCACGCTGCACGTAGCTTCTAATATTGGACAAAACTCTCTGGGTGACTATTTCTCTGATTCCATGTGAGGTGGAGATCTAAAAGAGAAATGACACAGCTTTGGACACCTATTTGCAGATTACTGTAGCTGTGCTTGCTAAAGATTTACCAGAGATTTATTTTCCCTGGTGCAAGCAATATACCTTTGACTTGAGTAATTCAGAAATCACATGGGATATAAAAATGATCTCCACTTGTAGCTTCCTTGTCATTGATCCTCATTCTTTAGGAAGAATTGGAAGTGAAACTCCACAGCAAAGTCTGTGTGTGTGTTTAATATGTGAACATCACACTAGTTTGATAAGTATGCTGTATGCACCATCAGTTATCCTAAAGTTGCTTCATCAGTTGTGCTACACACAGCATTGCTACCTGTGGCTTTTGTTTTGAAAAGTAGCCAAAAAGGGATATTTCAGTGGTTTTTTGAGTGCTTTGTCAAGGGGGAAAAAGTGTACAACAAATTCTTACAAAGTGATGGCCTATTAAAATTGCTGTTTTACACCTTACAGGATGAAGTGTACCCTCTTTTCATTCACTTTTATCACTGGAGTGTTTTGGTTGACTCTACTACAGATCTTTTCTGGTCACTGGACAGCCACTATATAGATTTCTTTTGGTTTTAGGCATGCATGCTGAGTGATCCATGCAACAGTGAAGAACCTGCCATTGTACATTCCATATGTTACCGTTGTACCAGGTGCTCTTGATTCCATTAGCAGGATGCTGTTAGTTCCCCTCACCCTACAGTTTCATTCAATGAAAACGTTTGAAAAGACAACCACGGTAGAGAAGCCAGAGCTACATGATATTGCATTGTGTGGCCCCACAACAATCTTTAATAATAGCCAATCCTGCTTTGGCAATGGTGGGCTTGCTTGGAGGAGGTTCTGCCTTCTTTTCTGCTGGGCTGCCTGTAACGTTCAAAACAGGACACCATTAAAACCAAGAGCTGGTCAGACTGTTTCTTCCTACTTCTGGCTTAACAAATGCAAGCCTTTCCTGCCCTCCCACCCCCCTGGATTTTTTAACTCTTGTTTGAACAATGCATCTAACTCTTTGATAGTAACCAAGCTGGTATGTGGATTCAAACTGCTCAGGAAGCTTTATCGCTTCAGGGGAGGGAGTTGCAGGGCTAAAGAATCCAGGTATCTCAGTGGGAGGGTAAACTTCTTGCATCTTGTTCAATCCAGGTGTCCCTGTTCACAGCCATAGGGTCAGAAAACAGGTCCTTCCACAGAAAGTCATCTTACCGTGTTTAAACCCTAACAACTAAGGAGTTGAAAGACAAATATTGCTAAAATATATTCTCTCATCAACTTGGATGTTGTAATTAGGAGAACAAAATAAAGGTAGGTGAGAAGAATCTTTTCATCTCTGACATTGCATTTAAAAGCAATGACATGAAGTAAACTAACAAGGGAGATGAGTCATGCTCCCTGTGACTAAAAGGGTATAAATAATCAGTGATGCATCATAAAATGTCTCTATCAACCTCATACTTGAACTTCACAGTCATTCCACATCCCTCTGGAAACTCTTTAGCAAGATCTTGATCTGTGCAAAATGGCAGTGTGTTTGGATACAAACCTCTTCAGCTGGTGGACCCAATTCCCTTTCTAAGAAGGGTACCACCTCTCACTTGACTATCTCCTTGCCTGTAAGAACTCAGTTTGAGACGGGTCAAAATCAATCTGTTAACTTTTAGAGCTCATGCTGTGACTGTTTTGTTTGAAAGTTGCAGCTAAAAGCTTCCAAGGGATCACGTAATTTACTTTCTGAGAAATTAGTGTGTTCGCAGTTGGGTCTATACTTGATTTGCGTTGAGGTGCTTGAAAAGCCTATTTAATGCTGGTACGATGTGAGAAATTTGGGGCAGATGTGGAAGTCTGCAGTCCTTAGTTTCCATGTTGACTGCAGTAAAACAGACTAACTTTGCTTCATGTACCCCAGCATGGATCTTGAAAGGGGTTTTTTTTCCAGTTATTTTTGCAGAATCAGGTGGGAAAATGATTGGCAAAAATAAATCTAGTTGCTTACAAAACCAGGTTGTGGCAATGTGTATTCAAATATACTTTGCATATTTAAAACATACAAAGCAATTTTAAAGTGGCTATAGATGACTTGGATTCAGTTTTAAGGGGTAATTGGGCACCTGAATTCTAAGTGGCCAGCAATCACTGACACACTAGCTTGTTTCAGGGTGATCTAGCTAGATCAGCCTAGCTTTTGGCAGAGGCTGGCTCAGCATGGCCTTTGAAAGTGCTCTTTTATCCAGTTGTCTCTGGAGTTTTTCCCGTCGTTCTTGTTTTTCTTAATGTCTAGGAACTCACTGGTAGGAGATTGTGTTGCTTTGTCTAGGGGTTTTAACTTGGTGCGAAGGAATTCAGCCATCTCTTTGTCTTCTTCTTTCTCTCTGATAGAAAAAAGGAAAATAAATGATACAGAAATAACAATGTTTTCTCTGTAAATGGGATGGTAAAAGCTAGAGTGGCTAGGATCAAATTACTAGTAAACAACTTACTACTTCATTCTTTTTAAAAACACTTCATTTTTCTGCTTATTAAAGAGCAAAATATTTGCCTAAATGATACAGTACGAAACTTCTTGTAGAATTCAGAGACAGAATTATCCCCAAGGTTCTTTACTTGTCTCTGATAACGTTGGATTCATCATATTCCCTAGTCAGCAGATTTAAACCATAACATGTCACCTATTTTAGGCTGGCCTCAAGTGCTTCACAATGCTTCCTCTACAAAGTAAAGCAGAGGACACCTATTACTGTGATTGTACTGCTTATTTTTAAAGGCCCACTTAGACAAAAGACTGGATCTCATGGTCTTCTGCTGTTAGTGTTTACCAAGTATATTTCTCTTTGCCTGAAGATGACAGCATTAGGCCCAAAATAAAAAGATTGTGATGCTAACCTTGCTTGCATCTAGTAATGATATTTCCATGTTAGTTTCTTCGCTATTTTGTTACTCAAACATTAGCAATGAGCGCACTGAATGAATATCTCAGTTTAGAGGAAAAGCAGATTTTACTAGCAAGAGTTTAACGAAAAGTCTCAGGTTTTACTGCAAATGTGAATTCATGCTAATGTATTCACATCTGCACCGTGCATAGCAGTACATTTTCAGTAGCCCACAATTAGCCTTCTGAATTGTCTGGCTGCTGCTGAGGCTTTTGTGATTTGCACACCAAACTAGCAGTTGAGAGCTCTGGATTACATTACTAGCTCACGCTTCTTGTCAGCTGCTGACTTTGGCCAGCTCTCTTCAATCAGCTGCAGGACTCTGGCAAGCTTTCTCCTCCTGTCCTTTGCTTGGTTAGAATTTAAATGTGTTGAAAAAGATACTATAATTTAGGATTGACAAGCCTTGAATCTTCACTGTTTAAAGAGACAGGGGAAGTAACAGTAACTATCTGTAGAGTGTTGGTATCTCAGTCAGGTATCCAGCATACCTCTGGAAACAAACTTTAGAAGACCACAGGTTTCTCAGCAACTTTGGGCTGAGATAAAACCATTCTGAATTCACACTTTAGGTTAGGTAGCCCTGGATTAGCCATTGCATTCTTTTTTCTTTTTTTTTTTTTTTTTGCTGTGGCAGGATGAGAATAGTAACAATAAAACCCGACCACATTGATAACTCCTTAGAAAAAGTCAGATTTCAGATGTCTACAAATATGTGCCTTGTAGAATTCCATTTCATGTCGTCTACTCATGCCAAAAGGATTCTCTGGTAGCAGCAAAAATCCTTCTCTTTTTAATACTAAATGCCCAGATGCTTCCTGGTAGGAAAGTAAAAGAGCAAAACCCGCTGTGGTCATGGGATTACTGAATCATTAATGGGATAAAGAGCCACAGAAGTGCAGTAATCTAGACTTAGTGTTTTGCCTGTGGAACTGGGAGGAGGTGTTTAACTTGGTAAGTTGTTTTAAAGGCCCAGTTCTCTCCCATTAATGTCAATGTAAATTTTGTCACTCACTCCAGTGTAGTAGTAGACTAAATAATATAAAGTTCAGTTGCTTTTAGTTCTTACCGTAATCTCTCAACTTCTGCATCATCTACAAGAAAATCTCTTTTTTGTACCAGTCTATGGATCTTCTGAATCAGTTCATCCTCTCTTTGTTTCTCCATCTTTGTTTTTTCTTTTTCTGGTCAAAAACAGAGAAAAGAAACTATTACTTTGGATTCTAGGGAGTGGGGTTGGGGTTGGAGGGTGGGCATTGCGAATGTCTAAGATTGAATTGCTGACTGAAGTCAATGGTTCTTCAGACCTGAGTTACCAAAACCCCAGCAAGTTCTGGTCACTGCCTCTCCCCCCCCTTTCCCCCCCCAGCTTCTACTTGCTGCTGTTGTCTGATCAGCTTAATGGTCTGAAAACACTGTGGGGCTTGCCAAGCCTACTTTTAAAATTAAATTACTCTACAAGACACCGCTTTGCATTTTTTAAAGAGCTTTGGTAAGAAAACAGTCCAGGATGCTTGATTAAAATGCATGGTACAGACTCCCTTTGACCTCAGGGAAAATGAGACCACACCAAAAGGAACCATTTCTCTGTATTTCGTGACAGCTTTGGCTGTTGACTACACCACTTTTTTCTACTCTGGTAAGGCAGATGAGCTGCAAATTCACACAAATAGCATCAATTGTAAAATGTGGAAAAATAAATGGAAGTGTTATTTTCCCTGTACTTCAAAAATCTGAGTAATATACATTCTTGTCAACTGGCCAGTCTGTAATGACTAGGTTGTCTATAAACAATGATTTTTGTGACATGAAAGATGTGCCTGTCACAAACCAAAACTCACGAATATTAGGGATTACAGAGCTGTAGTTTAAGGTTAAAAAGCAAATGTAGTTAAGACAGAAATCTTCAAACCTAGAGTGCAGCAGAGATAAGAAAGCCAGAGGCAAATCCCAGCCCATGTGTTTCTTCAAGAAGCTGAAAATTTTGATTAGCTGAGAAGACACTTTGCATTAAATCAAGAGTTTTGGTTTTGAGTAGAACTGCATCTAGAGAACCATAAAATTAAGTACTATAAGGGTTGTGAGAAGAAGGGCAAGCTGCCTGCAGTCTGATGCATCTGAGCTGTGTATGACTGCTCATTGAACTTACAAGATATTTTAAACAGCTAAATAAGACATTTGAAAACAATTGTTCAATACAGCTTAATTTTTGGATCATGGGCTTCAGGACACTTACTGCTGGGAATTTCTGCAATAAATCTATTCCTTAGTAAGTGAGACAAAAGCACCTTGAATATATTTTCAAGACAATTAAATTTTGTTAAGTCTTAATCTCAAAGTCAAACTCCTTGGAGAATTTTAAATTAGGTCTGCCAGTAGCAGAGGAAATAATTTGTAATATAGCATAAGGCTGCTTTGTTGGGATGTATTTTCTGTGTTTTATCTTTTAGAAATGATAAATGAAGGGGGCTATTGACTGCTATGACTATTTCAAGACCTCTATATTGCTACCTGTGGAGCATTCCTGTGATTAATGCTGAATTTGCAGCACAGAACAAAAGAGAATGCTTAGAAATCACTGCTTTTTCTTGCTTTGCCTCTTTGTCTAGGGAGCAAGGGATCTCCTCCCCCTCTCACTACTGAAGGCAGAAGCTACTTTCTACTTCCTTTCAATCCATCCCCTTCCCAGACTGAGATGTGCTCTCCCATGATATCCTTCAGAAACTGCCTGCCAAATACCTGCATCCTGAATTGTGGCAAAGTTCTGCATACTTTGTGTACTAGAAGACTAATCCCACATCTACTGAAATTGGCTAAACCGTGTCCTCTGAAACCAAAGAGCAGGTGTCTCTATACAAATCTGTATACTAACAGGAAAATGACGATAAAGATGTCATGAATTAACACATTTTTGGAAAGTGTTTTTCTAGTTTAGGCACATGCTCTGTCAGCACTTAGTTTTCTGTGAATGCCAGCCGCTTCTTTGTCTTCGTGAAGACAAAAGTATTCTTGTTGTGAGTCTGCCAAGAGGTGGTGCTGCTGGAACTGCGCATCCTTAATTCTCAAGTTTGCTGAGATTTGCAACGTGCTAAGGAGAAACTGCTGTCTGTGGATCTCAGCTTAAAACTTTGTGACTGGAAAATTGTTTCTAAAAGTTTTTTTTTTTTTTTAAAAAAAAAAAAGCCCACCAAAAAAATGAAAACCGATCAACTCTAAGTTAAATGTATGGGTAGAAAAGCTGCAGACTAGGACAAGCGAGGCAAGGGGAATCATTCATAGGTATTTTCTAAGCTTCATAATACTTCCAATACCATTTAAATCAATAATGTACCAACAGTGTTATTAGAAATTAAAAATATGACCTATAACTAAGAAGTACAAAGAAAGAAAAAGTAAGAAAGATTATGAATCCACTTTCGTTGGGTGCAAAGAAAAGTGGAAAAGTTCTTATTCAACTAAGAACGTGTGGCCTCAGAATAGACATATTTCCTATTTCATGACTGACCTTCTCTCTCCCTTCTGGGGAGGAAGCTGTCCTTTAGAGTTGCACAATAAGACGCGGGGAGAAAGTGATGACAACCAAAGGAGAGTCAAAACTTGTCCTTAATAGTTAGGCAGCAGCAAACTATTTCTGAAGGGTGCAAGAGGCCATGCAGTAATATCTGGTGTACAGGGCCCATTGCAGTTGCTGAGTGTTTTGCTCTGTTTATACTTGTTTTTCTTGAACCAAGTAGGGCTCCTGTGGATGATCTAAAACAGCAAAGCTGTTAAGCGAAGCAAAATTCCTCATTGATTTCAGCTGGAGTTTGGAGTTCAACTGCCCACAACTCTGTCCCTCTTTGGGGCAGCGAATGCACAGAAAATTAAGGCAAAACACAAAGCAGACTTTTGCCCGTTGCTTTTTGTAGAAACCCATTTTACTTTATTCTAGAAGGTAGGCTTAACTACAGGCATGACAATGTATTGGTATATCTAGGAAAAAAACCAATCATCACATTCACAGTGATGGCTATAACCTCCTTTCCTTTCTCCATTTTATCTTGGGTATCTCAGCACTCTGTCTTTTCTACCTGACAACCTCCGTGCCACTTCGTTCCCTTGAGATTGCCAAGGGAGTGCAAACACTAAGGAATGTGTACCTTGAGTGATATTTGCAGGGTTGCTGCCAAGGAAGCAGTGAAATATAGCATGAAAAGAAATTTAGAGACCAGGAAATTAAAGATGGGAAAGAAAACAGGAAGAAAAAATAAGGACAGAGGAAAGAGATATGAAACCACCTTGGAGGGGATTTCTGATTGTTAGGGGCAGAGGTGTGTTCCTGACACCATCCCCACCCATGCATCACCCAAGCATTATCCTAATATTGAGTTAGAGATAGCCATTACCTGGGATTGCTACCAAACTCTGCAGCTCTTTCTTAAGGTTCATAATGTCTTTGCACAGCTGGATGTCATCCATCCTGCAGAAACAGAAAGAGCATGGTCAGAGACATGCAAACTCTCTCCTGTGTTGATGGGATCGGCTAGATCTCATCTGAATATACGATACTGTCCCTTGTCTGAGACGTTGAAATGCAAAGGTTTAACCTTGGGCTATTGATACTGTTCATTCACCAAGTTTAACACATAGCAAAAGGTATTTAACACTAAATGCCTGCGGAGTCCTTGATTATTTGTCTTACTGGGATCTAATTTGTGCGTAGGTCGTATCTGCCACTGCAGATTAATTCAGACGTCTTTTGCTTTCTTGAATGTCACTGAACATTCTAGAACAGGTATCTGTGTATTTAATATTCACGAAAGACAGGTGTGCCATATTGCACATACTGCAGCCACGCTTTTCACTAGGGAAAAGTGCAAGGGTGAGCCTGGGAAGGGGCAGCAGAAGCCTTTATTTTATTTGGCACAGCCAAGACAAGGTTTACATTCCACTACCAACTTTCTTTGTGACCTTACTAATAACTTAGCCCCGAGACCAAAGATCTGGAAACTGTCATAATTTGGTTAGATAACCATTTTGAGGTCTTGTGCCTTGGGTGAATGTCTTCCACGGTTGATGTGAGCTCTTCAAATCCTTCATGTGTGCAGAAAGTCTGTTAAGATACAGAAGATGGCTAAAAAAAATAAATCTGTAACATTAGCAGAAACTGCACCTTCAGTTCTTATTGAAACTGATGCCTGTCCTGAGAGCTGCTACGCTGAATTATTCCCCTGGAAGCTAGCGAACTTCAGCGTTAGCTTCCTGGCACACGTTTTATTTTAGTGTTTCAGCCATCTAGGCAGCCAAGGCTCAGGTGTTGGTTCTGAGGCTGCATCATGGGCTTCCATTTTGAAATGACACCCTGTAGAATACAAAAAACAGCCTTTGTGATTAATCGTACATTCTGCAACTCGGATGTCACCAATGCTATCCTTGCCAACAGATCTCAGAGTTCTTGTTTCATAATCTTGTGCCTGAGAGTTGGATTTCATGTTGCCTAAGCACCTGAAGGTAGCTGAAGTGCTATCAGAACATGCGTTGTCACAGTGGTATTTCAAGAGAGAAAACCTTAGAGATTAGAACATGTGTATGTGAAAGCGAGCGCACAAAGGATAATGCAGTCAAAATTATTGAATTAAGTGAGGAGTGGGAAAAGTAGGTGTTTCTGGCACGAATAAGATTTTAATCACAACCCAGCAGCTTTCATCCTCCCTGCCACCTCTGCATGGAACACAGGTTTCCGCAGGGAGCTGTCCTTCAGCTGCTTTGCTCATGTTATTAAAAAATGTTGATCCTTTTATTATTTGCTGCTTTGGTTAACTCCATCTTGCCTGTTCTGCTACTTTCATTGTGCTATGACAGCTCTTCCTGCTGCCTTTTTAATTCTCTCTTTCCAAAATATGACAGTGAAATACATGTGATAATAATCTTTATTGCTGATCTCTTTTCCTTGTTTAGGTGCCACTGTCACCTCTGCTGGGGATCTGCTCTCCCACCATACATCTGTCTTGTAAGACTGACTTTTATGGGGAAGATCAGCATGCTAGCCTCAGGGCTAGTCCATGGTTCACTGCTGTATGTGTTTAGGACACTTGGAGGCAGAGATGTTTATACTGATGATTATTCTTACTTGAGTTCTCCATATTATTCATGCTGATCACAAGCAAAGCCTGTTTTACTCTTGAGATCAATCATGCTAAATGGTACTGAAATTACTTTTCTCAATTAACAGTATCTTAAACATTATCCCCTCAGGAGAATCAATATTCAAAATGTGCTGGGATGTGAGCAAGCCTCACAGCTCCTTATCTGTTCAACGTTCATGCAGTTTGGGTGTCATATTAATATAATGAGTGTTAATATATTTGAGGAAAATGACCACGGTTAACAAAGACAACAGTTTCTGGGCGAGAAACGTTCAATATTGAACTGTTGTATTCAAATGACATCTAGGGGCCAGACTCTCAACCAGTGAAGAGAACAATGAGAGATCTCCATGACAGACAGAGAGAGGATATTTTTTTTTCTGTAGCAGGTAAACTGGGCTTCATTCTGTGAAGATCTGAAAAATACTAATTAAAATACTTCACTGTATCACTTTGGCTCCCTGCCCTCCTCAAGGAACTCCTAAAAGCTAATGTCAGTGCTCTTTTCTCAGGTTTTTCAAAATTTAAAATATCATTGGCAGTATGTTCCAAGTGAGCAAGATCATTGATACACAATAGTCCCTACAGATCAATTTGTGGCAAAGGTACTGGCTTCATATTGCAACTGCAGTGGCAGTTACTCCTGTTATTTTGGATGGTCTTTAGTCTCACTGGAGAGCATACAGCTAGCACTCTCCATGTATATTCTTAGCATCTCTTTTTCCTGATGTAAACTTTGTTCCTGTCTTGTAACTTGCAGGAAAGGAATAAGTATGTGGCCATGCACTTAAGGGCTGTATCAACTCTGTGACGACCTGAATTTCAAAAGTCGTAAGCCAGATGACCCCTGCAGAGTCCCAGCTCTGTAGGCTAGCACGTTTTGATGATGGACAAAGACTAAACCCACCATCTGTACCAACCCCCTTAAGCACGTGGAACACCTTTCCTCCCATCTGTGTCAAACAGCCTTGAGTTTCATCCACTCCATGGTGCTGATTAGGGAAAAAAAGTAATTAAAAGATATGGTTAAATGACTAAAGGAGGGTTATGGGACATATTCATAAAAAACACGCGAAGGCTTCATCCATCTGACTTAATGAAAAGCAGGAGGTACAGTTGCTTGTAACTATAAAGCACAACACACATCTGCTAGCAAATAGTACTGAATGTAGGGCTACAACTGCTGTCCTGGGCAAGAGTCACCTTGTTGTCTTCAAAGAAAAGGGAAAAGGAGGAACTCCTGGGAAAGAAAGCTCTTGGAAGGCCATTCAATTTGTACTGGTACTATGAACCTTCCTCTCTTTTTCCTCCTTATGCTCTGGTTCTTGGATGTGAGCAGTTACAGGAGGCCCAGGAGAATTTAATGCTGCTTCTGAAAAAAAAAAAAAAAAAAATCCCTGTGGATTTCTCATTTGAAAGATGGATAGTCAGGAGGGTTTGACTGAGAGCATATTTGTATTACTGTCAGACCTCTTTAGGAAGTAAAAAGAGCTTTTGGGAATCTTAAAGAGAGCAGGAATAGGCAGAGTAGAGAAAACGAAAGTCCTTTGGGTCCCCTCACCTTCTACAGAGAACCTGTAGTAACATGCTGAGCCTAATTCTGCAGCACCTTCTCTCCTAAGTTTTAAGTCAAATCTATCAGAGTGCAAGATGGGCAAGAGGAGAAGTTACACAGAGTATTGTCCAGCTTACTTAAGAGCACTGTTATGCTCCCTGTGCACCCGGTGCTTTTCTCTAAGGAGAGCAGCGCAGTCAGGTTGTTGGTCTGTGCAGAATGCAATGGCTTTTTCCCTATAGATACAGCATGGCATAGGGTACTGAAATGACACCCTCCAGGCCTGTTTAAGTTATCTGCAAAGCTGCTCGAGACATTTGCATAACATTTGCAATATACAAATAACCTTTGCTGAACTCTCTGTTCTCTGGAATAGGTAGTACCTTCTTTGCAGTCCCTGTGAAATTGTTTTTGATCTTGTAGAAAAAACACCAGTAAAGCAAACAGCAGTTACAATATGTCAGTTTCTCCCCCAGAGCTCAGCTTTAAATGTCTGCCCAGCAATCTTAAACACATGAGTTATGAGTATAATAAAACATTTATCTTATTAAGAGCCCAAATCCGTTCCTGGAGTAACTGAAGTTGAACTAGGCATGAATTCTCAGTGTGCTTTCATGTATTCCTGACACACTGCCTGCAATTTTGCTTTTCTTTTTCTTGATGGCTTATTGCAAGAAACCTTCTGTATACTTGGAGATATCACATAAGCATGCATTATTCTTTTCTCTCTCGGTATTTCAAGATATATAATCAAAACCTAAAAGCAGGTTCTCTGTTTGCCCCCCCCCCAAAAAAAAGATAAAATAGCTCATAATGAATAAACAGCATAAGCAAAAGATTTTCTAAACTTGTCACAAAATTGACAGGAAAATAAGAGGGTCATAAGAGTCTGCAGTAATCTGGCACACTGACTCAGCCCCAATACATGTTTCTGTGGTCCAGTTACCAGGAGAAGAATGCTCTCAGCGCTGTCATTCCCATAAGATCCACAAGTGAGGTGATAGCATGAGTCACCGGTGCCGTGCACCATCTGGACTGAGGGCGAGCAGGGCAAAGAAACAGGGAGATCTCCCGTTCAGCTGTGCCCTGGCAGGTCTCAGAGGCTGTGGAAAACAATGGCAGGCAGGACTTAAAAAAGAAACATTCTGAACTGGACACAGAGGAAGTGTTTTGTTTTGTTTCAACAGAAATTATTCCACAACAGCTAAATTTTTCTGTCTTCTTTTCAGCTGAGGAAGAAAACCAAATTCCCTAGTATAAGACCTAGGTACCATCTAGATCCATGGATGGAAAAAAAAGGAAAATTATAGTAAAAGGCAGTAGGAAAATCACTACACCTTAATGGTCAGCCAAAGAGAGAGAGATGGACAAGAAGTTTGTCAAATTATTGAGAGTAAGAACTATTAATAACAGCTACGTAAAGCATCAAATATCTTTTTCACTGATTTCAGGACAAGCAGAGCAGTTCAGTGTGTCCAAAGAGCTGCTGCCTTTGCTGAATGACTTTCAAAGCTAGAACTAGATCTGTGCTCCCTCCAGCATGTCTGTAAGAGGAGGTCTGAGATTCTTTTGTTTTCTGTTATTGTATTAAAGTGCTTGAAGTTAAAAAATGCACGTGGAGTGGTTTTGTTGGTTTCCTTCCCTCTCTTCCAAGAGGGTTTGCAGGCACTTAGGTTATTTTTAGTTCTGTTTTAATATATTCCTGTCTGAGAAGTGAAATGCTTGTAATTGTTAGAGTTTCTGAAGACTTTGATAGTGCCAGTCTAGGAGATGGCCTAA